AGAAGAAGAAGAAGAAGAAGAAGAAGAAGAAGAAGAAGAAGAAGAAGAGGAAGAAGAAGAAGAAGAAGAGGAAGAAGAAGAAGAAGAAGAAGAAGAAGAGGAAGAAGAAGAAGAAGAGGAAGAAGAAGAAGAGGAAGAAGAAGAAGAAGAAGAAGAAGAAGAAGAAGAAGAAGAAGAAGAAGAAGAAGAAGAAGAAGAAGAAGAAGAAGAAGAAGAAGAAGAAGAAGCCAACACAGCCTTCCTCCCAGTCCTGGGACTGGCTGGCCCAGCAGACTGTCCGGTCCTCTCTCGACCAGCATACAGTTCTTGGGCTATCGGACGGCTAGTGTTTTTGAGGGCACTTCCGTCAACCAGACCCTTTCATGCCAAGACCGCCACCTTAAGGTCACACCACTGTCTGCCCCGCCAGGCCAGTCGACCCGGCCTCGGCCAGTGTCCCCATTTTCGGACCTGTGTCTCGATCAGGCGTCGTAAACAATGAAAAGTGCATGCAAATGCGAGGGTTTCTGTGAAACAACTAATCCGCATGTGCCCGTATCTACAGCGCATTCGGCAAACGAATGGTAGACCTCAGTTCTCCTGCTTATGGTGTCACCCAGGCCTTGGTGATAAACCAGGGTCGAGCGGCCGTCTACTACAAACGTCCTATTTGCTAGGGGAGACAAACATTCCCAAAAGAGCTGAAGTCCGAAGCGGAAAATTACTGGCGCCAGCGATGCTGATGATGAGGAAGGAGACATGATCGCTGGGACAAGAGCTTTATTAGCCTGAGGTTTCGGACTCCTGTTCGAACTCATCATCAGAGACAAGAGCAGACCCTTGTCTGACTCTGCCTCCGAGGATGGATTCGAGTGAGAATCTGAATCGCCAGGCTAATAAAGGTCTCTTGTCTCCTTCTTCAGGACTGCTTCCTGGGACTCGTCTCTTCGCTTCTATTGGCGATGCTGATAATGGCTATGATTACCTATTGAGTGCTTCAATTTCAGCTCTAAAGGATTTGCGACTCTTTTGATAGTGATGTTGATGGCGATGATAATGGGGAGGATGATGGTAGTGATAGCGATGCTGGTTATGGTGAGGGCGACTGCGATGATGAAGTGTTTAATTTATGAAAATAACTTCAAAGCAATCTTTGATGCATTTAATTTGAAGAACGTTTGCTACTTCTGTCCTTCTTAGATGGTTTCGCGTATTCGGGGTGGATCTTATTTCGTAGCAGCCTCACCTAAAGTAGACAAGCCCCAGCCGCATGTCATACCGGGGTTTAACACCCCTAACCCTAACCCTAACCCCTAACAATAATCCCTACCCCCAAACCCTAACACCCCTAGCTTGAGTGTTGCTGCTACCAGGGTCTGTCTATGTTTAAGCTGCTCTGATAAGCTTGACGTAAATGGTAGTGTCCTCACGAACTAACGAGTTATATCTCACGATCCCTTAGCATTAAAGGCAGCAAGTAAAGCTGACCAGTGAATAATATAGAAATTCCGAACGTCAAGTAACCTGACAGCAGAGCGCGACAGCTAAGCAGGCCAGCGAAAAGCGGGTTGTTCAGGTGTCGTTTTTCGTCAAATTCAAACAAGCAATCCGGACAAAGTAAATTAGTCCGGTACCTCACCAGAGTACCCCCCCCCCCCGCTTACTAGACCGGAGGGCGACGTAATACGGCACCAGAGGATGTGCATAAGTCTGGAAAAAATGCGTAACTAAACGGTCGGGGAAATGAACGTGACGGCTACTGCGAGTGATGTATGCAGGAGGTACAGTCGAAGAAGGTTGACTGCGTGCTATGGTGGAGGATGATGTTGCAGTTGAATTCTGTAGACATGTAGGGAGAGGAAGTATGCGGGATGGAGGGGTAGAGGACAAGGGAGGGGAAAGGGGAGGGACTGGACAAGTTGAAAGAGCAGGGGATAGGGAGGATGGAGGAACAGGGGTTAGGGGGTCAGCACATTTTTGTCCTTGTGACAGGTCCGGCGGCTCCTCTGCAACAGCAGCCTTGACCCAATCGACACTGACCTCGTCCTCCTTGTCACCGCGAAGAATCCGGCGTTGCGCGCGAGCACGCGCAACGGTCCTTCGTATGGTGATTCCAGCGGTTGGCACACACGGTCACACCGAACGAACACATGAGTGCAGTTTTCCAAGTCTTTTTCGACATAAGACTCAGTCGTTGTAGTTCGAGATGGAACCGGGGAAAGCGCGCTCATAAATTGCCGCAGACGGTGCACAAAGTTGTCAGGAGTCTTGTCCGCCCCACGAGAGGTTGGGGTGACCATCTCGCCTGGCAGCCGGAGGGTAGTGCCGAAAACCAATTCAGCTGCGCTACAGCCCAGATCCGACTTCATATCTGCGCGGATGCCAAGGAGTTCAAGAGGAAGGTTGTCCGACCAGTTTCCTGGGTCTTCTACGGCACGCAGGGCGGTCTTTAGCTGGCGATGGAAACGCTCAACCATACCGTTGGCAGCTGGGTGGTAGGCTGTCGTCCGAATGCGTGTGCAGCCAAGGAAATTGAGTAGCGTTTGGAAGAGTGCCGACTCAAACTGAGCACCACGATCAGTCGTAACCGTGGATGGGGCACCGAACATGGCGACCCAACGACTGACGAAGGCCTTCACGATGGTTTCAGCCTGAACATTCGGCAAAGGAATAGCTTCGGCCCAGCGAGTATATCGATC